CTTCCACCTTCCTGGGTCTGACCTCGGAGCATTCAGCATCCCCTTCCACACCATGCGCTTCCCACAATGAGTCCGCCTGGGCGGGGCTCCTGGGGAAGCCAGAGTGTCCTGCACCCCAACTTCACAGTCAGACATGACTCTCAGCCAGCGTGTGACACAGAAGGTTTATTAGTCGATGGGAACAGAGCATAGAACAGAACTTGTTAGCACAGAAATCCGTGACTTTCAGCCAAGTCCATCTTGGGGGGGGGGGAGCCCAGAGTCAGGGCTCTGGTCCTCCCCCTGTGCCCCAAGCCAACCCAGATGAGACTGACTTCCAGCTGCCTGGCCCCTGCCCTGCCCATTGCTCCTCCTCCAGCCTTTGTCTCGCTTCCCGGGCCAAGAGTCACCTAGTCGTATCCCCCTCCTGGGTCTCAGGTTACAAAGGGGGCAGCCATAGCATTCATGCAGGCAGCTAGTACAGCCCCCACAAAAGTCACACACCCTTATTCCCACCACCTAGACACTGGTGCAATACACAGGGAAACTGAGGCGCACACAGCATTCATGCAGAACAGTAAGACTCTCACAACATAACAAGGGAAAATCCCCACTTCGTCACCCTCCTAACTTCCCCTCCCTCTGCTAGCTAGGCCCAGCCTTGCTTAGTGTCCCCACCCTGCCAGCCCTGCACCCGGGCACCCTGGCTGAGCCTCAGCCCACAGACCCAGCTGCACTGACGTCCTGGGTCAGAGCCCAGGGGGGCCTCTAGCGCCAGGAGCCAGAGGACACAGACACACACACGCACTCACAAGCATACGCCCAGGTGTGTGCCCCAAAAGACAGATGCATAAGCAGACACCCTCCCTCCCCCAGTGCACACACAGATTTCTCCCCCCACAATGCACACGTGTGCATGGCAACAACCCACCCACACGTTCCCCGATAGCACTTTCCCCCCCATACACACAGACATTACACACACAATACACACGCACACCCATCAATATGCACACATCTCCATGCAAACACACACACCCTCTGGCTGATGCACACACACGTGCCCAGCACACATGCATGGATCCAGTGGCAGTCGTCAATTTCCACTCATCTATTTTGGGCGCTGGGAGTGCCCAGCTGGGAGCCCAGCCTTGGCTCAGCCTCAGCTCCCTGCTTGGAACCAGCCAGCCACATGGGGGCTCAGGATATTCCCCCTTCTCCACCCCCAGCCCAGAAAAGACCCCCCACACACACACTCCAGGGAGTGGGCTGTGAGCTAGGCCACTCCCTGCTGCGCCCTGTCTGCTGCGGGTCACCCCAGTCTGCAGCGAGCGCATTCCGCAGCCACTATGCCAGGCAGCAGCCAGGCTGACATGGCCTGCAGCCAGCGCTGAGTCACGGGCCCCAGTTTACCTGCTGACGTCCCCAAAGCCCCTTCCAGGGGCCTCGCCCAGCTCCCAGACACAGGGCTGCACAGGCCCAGGCTAAGGCCCCCGGTACTCCCTGTACTGGAGAGTTCAAGTACAGCCTGGCAACAGGACCCTTGCAGGGTCACTCAGTAGTGATAGAACGCAGGAATCCTGGCTCCCAACCCCCCTGCTCTAACCACTAGCCCCTACCCCCTGAGCCAGGGATAGAACCCAGGAGTCCTGGCTTGCAGCCTCCCCCACTCTAACCATTAGACCCCACTCCCCTCCCAGAGCTGGGGCTAGCACCCAGAGGGGCCTAGTCTAGAGACCAAGCCCTGGCCCCAGGGGACGCAGCAGGTGGGGTGTCTCTGGGGCGGGAGGCACCAGGACCGAGCCTGCTCCCCAGGCCTGGCTGCTCAGACAAGTCCCGGGCATCAGGCCGGCACTAATTACAGGGCCCCACCAGCTCCTGCGTTCAGAACAGGTGAGACAATCGGCCCAGCCCTGGCACATCAAAGTGGGAAAGCAGTGTAACATCCTGCCGTGGGTCTCACTGCTCCTTGGGCCAGAGTTCTCTGCCCTACACAGCCAGCACGGCTGAGTCCCAGCTGCTCTGCCTACAGCGGGCGGTGGCTCAGCGCTGGGTGAGCTGTCCCCATGCAGTATTATGTGCGGCTGTTCCCCAACTGCCCCAGCCCAGAGGTAGCTCCATCTCAGCACCCATTGAGCTGTCCCTGTGCAGTGTTGCTATGTAGCTGTTCCCCAGCTGCCCTGGCCCAGAGGTGGCTGCATCGCCTGGTGAGCCATCCCCATGTGGCATTATGTACAGCTGTTCCCCTCCCACCCCACCTACAGGTGTCTGCATCTGAGCACCAGGCCCTTGTTCTGTAGGTGTTAAACCCCGTGAGACAAACATTGCAACACTGATTTTGTAAGTGAAACTTCCCAGCCCCCAGGTCAATTTTTATGGTCCAGGTTTGAGCTGAGTTAGTTCAGCTGTTTTGCATCAGGGAGATAAACACCCTTTCCTTGCCAGAATGTAATGCTAGAAAGGGGGAGCCAGGACGCTTGGGTTCTCTCTCTGGCTCTGGGAGGGGAGTGGGGTCTGGTGGGTTAGAGCAGCGGGGGCTGGGAGCTAGGACACCTGGGTTCTCTATCTGGCTCTGGGAGGGGAGTGGGGTCTGGTGGGTTAGAGCAGCAGGGGCTGGAAGCCAGGACGCCTGGGTTCTCTCTCTGGCTCCGGGAGGGGGAGTGGGGGTCTGGTGGGTTAGAGCAGGGGGGGCTGGGAGAGGACGCCTGGGTTCTCTCTCTGGCTCTGGGAGGGGAGTGGGGTCTGGTGGGTTAGAGCAGCGGGGGTTGGGAGCCAGGACGCCTGGGTTCTCTCTCTGGCTCTCGTCTCCCGTGCCCTGCCTGCACTCTCTCCCTGCTTGTAGGATCAGCCTATCACTGAAGGGCCTTTGTGTGTCAGCCACTGACACCCCCTGTGCCCACAACCAGGGAGCGAGGCAGTAGGATGGAGCTTTTTGGTGGTTATTGCGCTGCTATGGGGGGCTGGCTGCAGTGGCCCAGGGGGAGACAAAACCACCCAGGCCTGTGGGGATCCGGAGGCTGGGCTGGGGGGTAGCTGTGGCTGGTGTTTTCAGTTCTGCGGTGACTCCTTGCGTGTGGCTGGGCTGTGTGTGTATCTGGCTGTCTGGGTTTGCAGCTGTTTCAGGGCTCCGGCTGTGGCTGTACTGTGTCTCACTGTCTTTGTGGCTGTGTGTGTCTGGATGTGTCTGCGTCTGTTGTGGGGCATGGGCTGTGGCTGTTCTGTGTCTTGTGTTTGCAGCTGTGTGTGTTTGTGGCTGTGCATGTGTTTGTGGCTGTGCATTTCTGGGTGGGGGTGTCTGGCTGCATCTGTGGGCTGTGGCAGTTCTATCTCGTGTTTGTGGCTAGCTCTGTGTGTGTCTGGCTGTGGGTATGGTTGTGTGTCTGGCTGTGTCTGTGTTTGCAGCTATGCATGTGTTTGTGTCTGTGTTTGCAGCTGTTGTGGGGCTCAGGCTGCAGCTGGGACGGTGTTTGGGATTCTCTAGCCGTGTCTGGGGCTGCGAGCCAGGTGGCATGCGTGTCCAGCTGTGGCTCTGTAGCTGGGTTCGTATCTTTGGCAGGTGTCATGCCAGGGACATCGGGCAGTGTGCGGGATTCGTCGCAGTGTGCCCATGCTCACACCCACAACACTCAGTTACACAGAGACTACCAGCTGGGCACGGACCAGAGCTGGCGCCCCCTAGAGGGGAAAGGCCCCATTCCATGCCGCGGGGCTGGATTGAGCTGGCATCCCCTAGAAGGAAAAGGTCCCGTGCCCCATTCCCCATCCCCTTGAGCCAGCCAGTCCCTCCAGCCCCCCATGTGCGGCATGCACTTTAGCCACAGTCCCTTGGCGGATGCCTGACACATGGGCTAATCCCTGATATAGTAACATGAGCACATTTGGCCTCAGGCTTTGGGCACAGAATCTTGCTGGGTGGTACCTAGGACAGAGAGCCTTAAAGAGACCCCTTGTTTTAACCCCCCAGCCCCCACTGCCCTCTCAGAGCTGGGGAAAGGACCTAGGAGTCCTGGCTCCCAACCCCCACCCCCAATCCTCTAAGCACTACACACAATGTTTTTGCTTATTCAAGCCAGCTAGGGACACTGCTGCTGTGAGCTTCCCTGCAGCAGTGTCCGTCCCAACAGGACCTGGGCACTGTGAGCTTCCCTGCAGCAGCATCTAGCCAGGCAGGACCCTGGTAACGCAATCTCCTGGACAATGCTCCTTTATTCCATGCCCAAGCCCCTCCTGTGCCCAGCCAGCCCAGCCTGGCTCTGTGTCTGGGGCGCAGCTCCCCAAATGGGATTGGGGGAGGTTGGGAAACAAATGTGCCCATGTGCCTGGGACTGGGACAGGGTGCAGGTGCTGGATACCCACCCCAGCCCATTCCCCTGCCCCTCCCCAGCACACACTGCATGCAGCGCTCTCCCTGGGCAGTGGCCCACAAACGTGTGGGGTGGGTGCTCACAAAGCTGGGAGGAGGGGGAGCGGAGCCGGGTCCTGGTGGGGTGGGGGCCGGGGGTGAGGGGCACAGTCTGTTGTGTCTGGCAGCCAGCCTCCCCGAGGGGCTCTCATGGGGGTGGGGGTGCACAGAATAGGGCTTGGACAGACACACATACACGGGGGGGGGTCCGTCCCCCAGCTGGAGGGGCTGAGCTCTGGGGGGGCGGGAGGGGCGTGTCTGTCTGTCTGTCCCTGCTGGAGGGGCTGAACCATGGGGATGTCTGTCTGTCCATTCCCCCAGCTGAAGGGGCAGAGCTGTCTGTCTGCGTTCACAGCTTCCCAGACCCCTGGCCAGGAGGGACTCCCCACTCCTCCCCCAGGCCTGCGACCTGCCCCAGACTCGGCCTGTCTCTGGTGACAGGCGGCTGGGGATGGGGGGCGTTGCCCACCCTGTGTGTCTGTCCACATCAGTGCAGGTCTGTCTGTCTGTCTGTGCCGGTCCTGCCTGGCCCCGCAGGCCTGGCAGGCAGCCCGGCCCTCCCCTTGGCTCGATGCCCAACCATCCCTCCTCGCCCAGGCTTCTAGCGCCTTCCACGCCCGTGGGATATAAGGCCCTGACGCAGGGCGAGTGCAGACGGACGCCCCGACCCAGCTGCCATGGACGTCACCATCCAGCACCCGTGGCTGCGCCGGCCCCTGGGCCCCGGCTTCGGCCCCTTCCTCGCCAACCGCCTCTTCGACCAGCGCTTCGGTGAGGGGCTGCTGGAGAGCGACCTGGCGGCCCTCTGCCCTGCCGCCGGCCTCGGCCCCCTCTATGCCCGCCCCCCTGGCGTGGCTCTGCCCGACACCGGCCTCTCCGAGGTGGGTCAGGGGTGGGGCAAGCGCCCCTCATTGCCCCCTATCCCTGCTCCCCTTGCTGCCCCCGCTCCCTGCACCCCCAAACTCCTGCACCCCCCACTGCCCCAAATCACTGCATTCCCTCACTGCACCTCCACTGCCGCAATCCCTGCATCCCTCGCTGCACCCCAAATCCCTGCACCCCCCACCCAAAGCCCTGCACTCCCTTGCTGCACCCCAAAAACCTGCATCACCCTCGCTCCCCCCAAATTCCTGCACCCCCTCACTGCCCACTGAATCTCCACACTCCCTTGCTGCACCAATCCCTTCCCCCAATCCTTGCCCCACCCTCACTGCACCCCAATACTCCTGCCCCTTACCCTCACTCTCCCCAATCCCTATACCCCCCCAATCTCTGCACCCCTGACTGCCCCCAAAATCTCTGCATCACCACATCCCTGATCCCCCTTGCCTCACCCCCTGGCCTCACCTCTGTGCGTGGTCTCCACCCTTCCTGTGCAGCCGCACCAACCCCACCCGCTGCTGGCCCCCCGGAGCCACGTGGGCCCTCACCCACCCATGAATGTCCCCCACTCTCTCTGCACCCCTAACTCCATTATAGCCTCCACCCTGCACCCCCAATTCTGGCCATGTCCCCTTGCTGCATCCTATAATCCACACCCCTTCTGTCCCCCCCCCCGCACCCTTAAATCCAGGGCTAGCCTCTGCTCTCTGCAACCCCAAATCCAGGTGTTTCATGTGCTCACTGTACCCCCAGATCCATGCATGGCCTGCATCCACTCTGCACCCCCAAATTCTGCTCTGCCAGGCCCATACCCCAAATACCAGAGCCTCACCCCAGTGCCCCAGCCAGGGGTACGAGCTCCCCCAGGGCTGTGGTGGGAGCAGGGGGACTGTGGGGGGTGCTGCTGTACACAGGCATATTGGGGTGCAGGTGCCTCCCACCCCTTGGAGCCCCAGCGAGCAGGAGAGGGGTGACAGGGCAGAAGCAGAGGCTGCCCTATTATGGTAACATTCCTGTGCCGTGCGGCACCTGCTGCCAGCTGCTCGGGCTGCCGGCCAGGGGTGTGGAGGGGGAGCAGCTATCTCTCCCCCCCAATTCTGGACCCTGTTATTCCATCCTCCCCCAAGCTCTGCATCCCTCACCGCACCAGCATCTGCAGGGCCAGCGCTCAGCTGGAGGGGTGGAACTCCAGCACTGCAAGCTTCCCCCAGTAGTGCCCATGCCTGGCCCCAGCACTGTGAGCTTCCCCCTGACAGTGCCCAGCCCTAGGCACTGCAAGCTTCCCTTCGGCAGTGCCCAGCTCTGGCCCCCAGCCCTGCGAGTGTCTTCCCCCTCCCCCGGGCTGCGAGCTGACCAGCCCCTGCAGTGCCCAGCCCCCCCTGAGCTACCCCCCTGCAGTGTCCATCCCCAGGCACTGAAAGCTTCCCTCCAGCAGTGCCCAGCCCTGGGAGCATCTCCCCCTCCCCAGCTCTGTGAGCTTCCCCGACAGTGCTCAGCCCTAGCCCCCACCGAGCTCCCTCCCCACCCACCCCCGCTGCAGTATCCAGCCCTAGGTGCTGAGAGCTTTCCTCCGGCAGTGCCCAGCCCAGGACTTGCAAGCTTCCCTCCAGTAGTGTGCAGTCCCAACCCACAGCGCTGCAAGTTGCCCCTGGTCAGTGCCCAGCCCTGGCCTGTGAGCTTCCCTCTGACAGTGCCCAGCCCCAGTGAGTTTAGTCCTGGCAGTGCCCTCACCCGCTGGTCTGCCCCTGCAGATGACGCTGGACAAGGACCGGTTCTCGGTGCTGCTGGACGTGAAGCATTTCTCGCCTGAGGAGCTGAGCGTGAAGGTGGTGGGTGACTACGTGGAGGTGCACGCCAAACATGAGGAGCGTCCGGTATGGCCCCCACCAGCCCAGGGTGTCCCCCCCAGCTCTCCTCCTCCCCCCCACACTAATGCCTTCTCTCTTGCCCCCAGGACGAGCACGGCTACATCTCCCGCGAGTTCCACCGGCGCTATGGGCTGCCCCGGGGTGTGGACCCCGCCACCATCACTTCGTCCCTCTCACCCGACGGCATCCTCTCCATCACAGCGCCCACCAAACCCGAGGGCAAGGCCCAGGAGCGCACCGTCCCCATCACCCACCAGCAGAGCCCCGCCGTCACCGGGAAATAGGGGGGGGGCGCGCAAGGATCCGCCTCTACCCCCCCATAGGAGTCAGGGGGTCCCCCTGTCCCCATTAGGGACACCCCCACCCCTGTGGGCATCACACTCCCCCAGCCCCTTGGGACAGCAGAATTTCAGGGGCTCCCCCTTTCCAGGCCCAGGGGAGCAGAGATCTGGGATTTGCTCCTGCCCCTCCCCCCCCCCTGCTTTGCAGGGTCTTTTCTTATCTATGGCTGGTGCTGTATGAAGCCGGGAGTTCGGCCAATAAACTCCACTCACCTGCTGGACCGGTGCCTCCCTGTGGTTGTTTTTGAGGGACACTGCTGGGGGTGGGGTGGGATTGGATTTCACCCAGGGGTGCTGCCTGGGAGAAGGGCAGGGAGCGGTGGTGATAAGTCACAGGGGTGCATGGTAGGAATTGTGTGCGGTGGTTGATCTGTATCTGTTGGGGGACAGGAGTGGTGGTCAGGATGAACCTGGCTGGGGTTGTTTGGCAGTGGGGGCAGGTAATGCGTAGCAGAGAGGATGTGTCAGGGTGCACCTGTTTAAGATTATACAGCAGAATGCGCCTGTTGCCCAGGGCTGTGCGTGGCGGGTACGGGCGCCTGTTGCCCAGGGCTGTGCGTGGCAGGCAGCAGTTTGGAGTTGTATGTCAGAGCATAACAGGGGTTTGGAGCTGTGAGGTGTGCCTGTTTTCTAGCACTGTTAGGGCGCACCTGTTGCCTGGGGCTGAGAAAGATAGCCAGGGTGGCCCTAGGCCATATGTGGGTGTACCTATGGCTGCATATGTGGGGTGGGGGCACTGCAAGAAATACACACGTAACCATACTCCGCTCTCTCATCTCATGCTCCCCCCAGGCCCCACACACACTGCACCCCCTCACTAGAGCCCCGGTGCCCTGTCCCACCCTGACACCCACCCGAGCACCCATGCTAGATAAGCTGCCAGACACTGGCTTGCCGGGCCACCAGGGTATGGTCAATGCAAATGCCCTGCTCCGCCCCTTTGCACCAGTGCAGCAGCATGACATCACTGAGACACACCCCTCTGTTCTTGAAGGGAGGAGGATACTCAAGGCTGATTAACCCTTTGTGCAACAGCTCAGGTGGGGTTTACAGGGGTCTGGCCCCACCTGAGCCCCTTTACCCACAGTAGTGAGGCAGGACCCCACTTCTCAGCCATCCCATCTCCCTGCCCCTGCTGCATTGCCTCCAGCTGTGAATTCCCCCCAAAGGGGGCTTCACCCTGGGCTACTCCGGGGTGTTGTCCCCCTATGACACAGGTGAGGCAGGCGCCAGGGACTCCATTTATTGGCTATGTTGGAAGGGGGAGGGGGGAGGGAGAAGAGAGATGGTGGGATGGGAGACTAGGTCCCCTTACATGCACTAGCCGCTGCCCTCCACTAGGGGACAGCCCTACCCCACACAGAGCCCAGCCAGGGGACAGAAGGGGGGGTGTGAGGGGTAGCCCCGAGCTAGACCACTCTCCCCAGCACCAAGCCCAGGGTATGAGGCTACTTTCTACTAGGAGTGCCCCCCCCCCGGAGGCGGGGCACCCAAGTGGCTCCACTCCCAGTGGCTGGGCCTCAGCACAGCCCCACCCCCAGAGGGGGGCCTGGGCAGGGTGTGGGGTCCATCACTGCCGCTCGTACATCTCCTTGAGGATCTTCATGCTCTCAGTGTAGCGCAGCTGGTTCCGGTGTGATGCCTCCTTCCACCTGTGAGGGGAGCAGAGATGGGGCAGGAGGGTCAAGAACCCTCCCCCCCTCAAATTCCCTCCCCGAGGCTGAAGCACCCCCAACCCACACTCCACCCGGGGGAAGAACACCCTCCCTCCACCCCCCACCCCTCTGGCACACCCACCGCTGGCGGATCTTCTTCCAGCGCTCCATGTTCTTATAGATGAGAGAAGACATCGAGGGCCGTGCATCAGGGGTCTATGGGGTGGAGAGAGAACATGTCAGGTCGGGGGGGGGGGAAACCTGGGAGAGAAGCCTGCAGGAGGTGGACACCCCGGGGGGGAGGGGCAGTGTCATGGTTGGCGCATAGTGTGTGTGGGGGGGGAGATGGGTAGTTGGGGGGTGGGCCCCAGGAGAAGCGGGTAGAAAGACTGTCGGGGCGGGGGTAGAGAGAACCAGGTGGGAGATAGGAGGCAGGCAGCCTGCAAGGCTGGAACCCAGTATCGGGGGCCCCACAGAACCCATGGAGAGTGGCGGGGCAGCAGTCTAGGCTGTGAGAGCAGCGTGGTGGATGGGGGGCAGATTGAGGGGGGCTGCAGCACCCCCTGCAGATGGGGGAGGGAAAGGCCAAAGCTCAGCTGGCACGAGGCCCTGGGCAGGGCAGGGGGTGGACATAGCCGCCCGGGGCCCCTTCCTCACCGTGTCAGGGAGCGACTCCCCATCCTCAGGCGGCAGTGGGGAGGGTATCCTGGTGCTCACAGACTCCCCGCCTGCATTCTCCAGGCCAGCACACGGCGGGGGCAGCTTGTACACATTCTGGCTCTTCCCGTTCAGCCCCTCAGCCCCCTGCGAACGCAGAGCAGGTCACGGAAAGAAGTGGGGGAACCCCACACAGCCCCTCCCCCATTCCTGCCCCTCAGCCCCCTGGGAACATAGAGCGGGGGTAGGGGACACCCCACACAGCCCATGCCCCATGGGGGGGATGGGACCCCACACAGCCCCTCCCCCCACATCCCCCACCTCCTCATCCTCAGGCAGGGCGGGCAGCGGGGGGCTGGGCGAGCGCTCCCTCTCGCGTACGGTGGGACTGTTCCTCATCCAGGCCCGGCAGATGGGGTACAGTGGGGTGCTCTCTGCAAACTGCGCCAGGTCCACACTCCGGTCAAACAGCTTGATGATGTAGGTGTCTGGGGGGTCAGGACAGCAAAACCGTCAGATGGGAACCCCCTCTAGCCAGCCCACCGCCCAGGATCTGAGCCTGCACCCCCTGGAGGGGGGGGGGGGAGCGCGGCGT